ATCCTTGCAATCCTTGTTAACCAATCCTACCAGTCATAACCGACAAACGAATAGCATCTGTTTAGACAAACGAATAGCATCTGTTTAGGGCCTAGCTTGGTGCTGAAATTGTTGTCCATCAACATAGAGGGTCTCCTTTCAGAGTACGAACCAATAGTAAGGTTCGTTATCCATCATAGAACAACCGGATGAATAGAAGTTTTGTTAGTTGTAAACTATTTCAATAGTCAATAACACAAATGTGTGCCGATAACGACCATGACGTACAATTAAATATCAGAAAAAAAGACCACAGAATGAGTGTGATAAAGATGAAAATAATAAAACGAACGAGTGGAAAAAACAGCATTCTACCGGTCGCGCGGTTCATATTTAGTCTCCTGGGTTGTTAAAAATTTCGCCTTTCGTAGTTTAGTTTTCATTATGAATTTTTTCTAAATTCACTTATGATGTAATATTTTCGGAGCATTGACAGTTGTCGATACGAAACTAGGTTTTTTTTTTTTTCATGAATATTATTCATATATTAATGGTACTTGCAAACATCGTAAATATTGGTATTATGATTTAACAGCAATAGAGACTGTAGGTAAAAACGATATTTTTCGGCAGTCGTATAATGCTATTGTAAAATCATGGTGATTATTTACTCCGCGCGACCGTTAGAGTGCTAAACAAAATTTTATATGAGGAATGATTAAATAAGAGGTAATTTAAGCGTGGCTTAGATGGGAGGCGAAATTAAAGAAAAAATGTCTCCGATGGGTTGGGCACGTTACGGAGGAAAGATGAAACTGGAGAAGTAACAATCGTATTGAATTCAAAACAGACATGAAAAAGTGCAATAGGAAAACCAAATAGAAGTTCTATATTAAATTTAAACAAATGTAGCGTCCCTATAAATATAGTTGGTGAAACATAAGGCTTCGGCGCCGCTCTTTTCGGCTCATACAAAAAAATCTTTTTATAGGCGATACTAATAGCGTATCGTTTAATTAGTGGCCACGTACTGCATACAAATTTACTCAAATCTAATTTTATTTTAAATATTTACTAATATTACATATACGTTTATACAAAAATAGTGTTGTTTTTCATGGTTACAGGAGAAAAAAAAACCCATAAAAAATCTGATTTAATATGTATTAATTAATTACGATATATATTTTCTTTACAAATTTTTCATTATCTATTCATCAAGACATATTATTAATAAACGTAATGATTTGAAAATTACGTAAAATGTATAAACTATAAATTATATTCCATCAGCCGTCTCTGGCATACACTTGGTCAACTAATAATATTCAACTGCCTTCTTACCGGTTTTGCTCTTAACTTTTCTGATTCTAGTTTTGTTTTCATGAACATTCAGTTTCCCGTTTCCTCCAAGACTTGCCGAAACCATCGCAGTCGATTTTCTTTAATTTTGTCTTCCTTCAAGGCTGCGCCTATTCATCTCTTATATATTTATTTCTCATTAGGGGGCAGGGTAGGAACCTCATACAAAAAAATCTTTTTATAGGCGATACTATTAGCGTATCGTTTAATTAGTGGCCACGTACTGCATACAAATTTACTCAAATCTAATTTTATTTTAAATATTTACTAATATTACATATACGTTTATACAAAAATAGTGTTGTTTTTCATGGTTACAGGAGAAAAAAAAACCCATAAAAAATCTGATTTAATATGTATTAATTAATTACGATATATATTTTCTTTACAAATTTTTCATTATCTATTCATCAAGACATATTATTAATAAACGTAATGATTTGAAAATTACGTAAAATGTATAAACTATAAATTATATTCCATCAGCCGTCTCTGGCATACACTTGGTCAACTAATAATATTCAACTGCCTTCTTACCGGTTTTGCTCTTAACTTTTCTGATTCTAGTTTTGTTTTCATGAACATTCAGTTTCCCGTTTCCTCCAAGACTTGCCGAAACCATCGCAGTCGATTTTCTTTAATTTTGTCTTCCTTCAAGGCTGCGCCTATTCATCTCTTATATATTTATTTCTCATTAGGGGGCAGGGTAGGAACCTCCACGCGGTGCTCCTGGAACGGCGAGATTTGCACATGGTGAAAAAAATTTAATAGAGGCGATTACATTGCAATCCTTGTTAACCAATCCTACCAGCCATAACCGACAAACGAATAGCATCTGTTTAGGGCCTAGCTTGGTGCTGAAATTGTTGTCCATCAACATAGAGGGTCTCACACTAGAGAAGAATAAAATACCTTTTGAACTTTTTAGGGATCATATTTGTGAATTACTGTGCTCCCAAGAAATTTACAGTTGAATTTGTTAATCATTTTTTCATTGTCGTATTATTTTTGATTCTTTTCCACACGAATGTTTTAATGCGGTTTGTTAAAATTTTAAATAAATTATAGAAAACCATTATTTTAGTTCAAGTTCCATTATATGAGTCTTTTCCTCCATTTTCAGTTTTTTCTAGAATTTTCTCAGGCATTAGTTGTTTTGTCTGTTTAAAACGACATTTTTCTTTTCCATCTTTACAGTTTTTCTTTACCTTTTTTCGAGTATAAAGAACGTATAAGTCAAACCGTTTTTCTTCTTCCTATCTTGTTCTTTTGTTTTTATTATTAGTGTTAATCAATTCTTATTTGTTGTTGAAACCAAATGTAGTAAGTAGTTTTAGTCTAATACAGTTACGTATCTCATGTTTTATTATTATTATTTAATTATTATTATTATTTAATGTCATTTTAAGAAATTTTATACTTAAAAAATATTTTTTTTTTAAATATTGTTTTTATTTATTTATGTTATCGTTTCTTTTATCTTAATTATTATTTATATTTAATCAGCAGGAAAACATCATAGTAATATACTTAGATTAATTACTGTAGGAATATTACAAATGTAAAATCTCACGATCAAATATTGTTTGTCTTTTTCCAACAGCAGTTCTCTCTCATCAAATCTCCAAACGTACATTTTAAATGTGCACATCTTATTTACAGCTCAAAGAAATGTTTCCATATAAAAATTTTACCTTTTTATGTACGGAATCCAATTATGAATTAAATTCATCAAATCGGTAACTATGTAAACAAACGAACAATATATGAGCTAATAACAGTACGTTGAATGAAACTGTGTATAAACAAAGAATTAGATGCGTATTTAAATACTAGCTCTCATAGCAATTCCGAAGAAAACGTTGCTAACTTGACTAATATTCTAACCTTAAGCAGCTCTTAAATTAAAATTGAACTTCCGGTTTTATTGTTGTTACCGGTCTTAATTCTCAACCTAACTGAGTGGTCTGTGTTCCGGTTTATCGGAATAAAACAATGTACTTGATATTCAAAAAACCGTACTGCATACCAATTTAGTCGGTATGGTGTACGATGTTCGTTTATTTGATTGTGTTTCGTAGAGCGAGTAAATAAATCCGATTATTGGAATTTTCGTGATCCAGTGATAACTACATTTACATCTTGAACTCGGATTCAATCGAACGCTTTACCATAGTATTGGAGTGCAGATGATATGGTAACGTTCTCACGTTTTGAATACTCGGAATTTATCAACGTCAGCAGACCTTGAGAAGATGAGACGACATCTGGGAAACCGTAAATTCAATAGATGCCGAACGTTATGGCTATATGGTTTGGGCTAGCCTTCTTAAGTGACCAAGCTTTCATGTGATCTCGTTGATACAGATGAGGACGTTCTTACTGCCGTTGGACTGTAGTAATATTTTCGAATCGGAGTTTGGGCAGAATGAATATAGCTAATGCTGTTTTAGTGTGTCTGTGAACTTTTGTCCATTGAGACTATTCTCAAAACCTTGTCTACTGGGATATTTTTCCATTCATACTAGGTCAACAGTGGTTTGATAAGATATAATGTTGCGATTATCGTGCGATGGTCCGTGGTTCACTTGCTAAACACGGCGTGGTGCTTGACGAGCGTACGATGAGACGAGTCTTCTCAGTTGAATAGCCGCGTTGAGAAAACCGTCCGTTGTGTAACGTAACTGAAGTGCAGCAAGTGTTTGATAGTTTCAAATATGTCTTTCAATTCCCTCTCAGCAGTCTAATCCGTTGACTAGTGTCTGGCATCCGGGAACTATTGAGGCGCTGCTACTTCAAATCTCGACAATATGTTGAAAACAATATTGTTTTCGTCGTCATCGTCTTCCGATATTCACATACCGTTATACGTGGTTCTCTGGCCTTTTACACAAATAAAATGTAAAAAAATATACATAGTTTTATCCGGGTTTGTTCTAACACGCCTTGGTATAATTTAACTTCCATTGAAAAATGCCAGCAACAATAATTAGTTTCCTAATTTACTATGTTTCAAAACACATTTTCTTACAAAATACACATTGCATAACAGCGTAATATATAAGTGAGGAACAATATATCCTTAAAATATAAATCAAATTTCTCATTCGAAATTAATACTGCAAATTGCTAATGCACTAAAAAAGCAATAAAACTTGGCGTACAATGATTTGCGAACTACAAAGAATCAACCATTTGATGTGTTACAACTTCGTAAAGAATATTTATACCTACTTCAATCTACTATAAAGGAAAGCAATGCGGGTCAAAAATCAGACATGAGAAAAGACAAACAATAAATAAGATCGATTGAGATTAAAAAAAAAAAAAAAAAAAAAATACGAACACAATTCTCACGTGGGTGCAGCCACTTTTGTAGATGAGAAGTATGGAAGGTAGGATACAGAAGGGAACTTAATGTATATCAGTTAGCAACTTTAAACCATTGCTAACAAAAAAATGATTCTGAGTGGAGTTCAGTTGATAGTTATGCTTTGTCAAAAATATATGTCATATTATGGTAAAATAATTTAATGAAATTATATATTGTCTTCAATAATATTTGTTTAATATTTACCGATTTTCCCGTTTTCCCATGTTTTTCCTGTTTTTCCCGTTTGTTGAAAAAATTTCTGGAGAAATCAAAAAACTACCTCCCTAAAGTACCTTTTTAGTCATATTTTCTTTCACAAAATGTACTATCATTGTAAACCGGAGCAAAATTGCTAGTAGAAAAGTTGTTCAAAGAAAAAAAAAAAACATCTTTGTAAAACTATCCGCTCCACTTAGAATCTAAAACGTTAATTTAATTTATTTAATAAATTAGTTTCGAATTATTTGTATTATTATTATGTAGTATAGGTTGTTATGTATCATAAAACGTATAATCATCAGTGTGTTTAAATTATATATATTCAAAATAATGTTAATCAATATTATTATACTATTATAGAACAACTTTTATTTGTTATTCGTATTATACCTAGTTATGTACTTATTCATTATCGCTTATACATTTGTAGTGTTATGTGATTAAGTAATCGATAACTGAAAAAAAATGTGGGCACACGATGTTTATGCAACAAAAAAAGTATTCAGATTGTTATATAAATTAAGATTCTTTTTTTTCAAAACTTGTATGTAAAAATTATTGCTATTTGTAATATTTTAAATATGTTATTACTTATTTAAATAAATTAATGATATTATTATATTTTTGTTTAAACATTTTAAAAACTCGGTTATTTATTTACATTTATTATTTTGATTCATTCAATTTATAATACTAACCTAACTATCCTAACTAATGCTGAGCAATACTTTGCCTAATCTGGAATTTGGATTATAATTACATAATCTTCAATAGTCCGGCGTCTGAGCGCCTTGAAACTAGGGCTCCTTGCTCACAAGTTGACCTGTAAGTTGGGTCGCCTCCTTCTAGGGCAATGAGACCCAGTCAATTAATATGTGCGCTATGGATACACAAAATCACACAAATACCTAACAATAGACCTTTACTATGTTTGCTTACAATAACTATTAAACTAAGTATTCACCTCACCTTGATGTCGGTGTTCACAGCCCCTCTAAGTGAACGATGTTGAGATTCTTTGGCGATTGGGTGATTCCGTTGTGGGCGGTCATGTAAACGGTGGTCAGCGGCCATCTGATTGGATTACTACTAACGCACTGAATGACTGGGCTCGGTGATTAACCTTATTAATTAATTAATTAATTTAAAAGATGATGGGCTGGAGACCAATTTACAAAATTATATATTAAGAAAAATAACAGCTTGATACACAGTTCTAGTGCAATTAATTTATTAAGAACAACAAAAAAGTTAAGTATTAGCTTAAGACTAAGTTACTAGTAAAATGTTAACTAGTAGGTAGTCTGACTATTGGTTTACTAAATAATCGGGCAACACCAAAAATAATGACAAGGTAGAGTAGTAGTACTCAATGTAGAGTAGTAGTAGTGGTTAATTTGTAGATTATGACAATCAACGTTAACTTTAAGAAATAATGTCATGTCAGCGGAAAAGCACAACAACTTACAATATTTAAGAGATCAAAAAGCACTATTCACAAACAACGGAAAAAGTGTAGGAGGCAGATGGCTTGGGATACGCCAGATGGAGAGGTAAATACTTCAGACTTGATGTGAAATAAATTTACCCATTGCGAACGATTAATTAAAAATTAATTGAACCAGGAAAGAAGAGGATCACAAAAATCTGTTACTTTCAAAATAGCAATTAAGAATTTATTATTAACCGAGTTAAAAGTCTTAACAAAGTCCATAAAGATTACATAAACTTGTTTATCTTTACTAAAAATGTAGTTGCATAAAGAAAGTTTACATGTAGTAGTAGAACGGCCCGGACAAAATCTGTGCCATTTCTTAATTTAAATTGGATTAACTGAGGGCCGAATAGCATATGAGAGATTCAAGTATTTTCGGAATATGACTGAGAATAGAGGTCGGTCTATAGTTAGTCACCAGAAAGGGTCAACTAGACTTTAAAATAAGAGTGAATGATCTAATTGTCTATAAGTCAGGGGAAATACCTTCATTAAGGGATTTAAAGAAAAGAAACCACAAAGGAAGGTATATAACATGTTTTATTTTGAAAAGAATGTCACCAGGTATACAAATAGGACTAAGAGAAGATACATTTTTAAGAGCTGATAGTTTTAGAAGAACATCATTAGGGGAGATATTGTAAATGTTAGCTAAATCAAAGAACTGTATTTTTAAGGACAGCAAGTTGATATCAATTAAGTTAGAAAAGTAAACAGATTAAAATTGTTCAGAAAACAGATTAACATATCCTGCTTTCATGAGCTAGTGACAGAGTTAAGAGAAACCGATTTCGGAACAGCAGTTTAGGTGCGATTTTTGCGTATGAAGTACCAGAACTTATTAGGTTCCTTAGATAGAGATATCTCTGTATGTTTAACAAAGATCTTAAAACATTTTTTAGATGTATATTCAGCATGAAATAGGGAATGCCCTGTAGTGACTAGAGTCACAATATGATTTAAACTTAGCATGTGCTGTATTTTTATGATGCACCATGTCTTTAAGATCTTTGGTAACCATTGGAGAAAAAGTTGATTTAAAAAAGTGAGATATAGGAACGAAACGTAAGATAGAATCATGGAGAGTATCAGTGAAAGTAAAGGTAGCAGCATAAAGGTCAAGGTTCGAGAGGATAGAAAACCAGTCAAAAGATGAAAGATGAAAAGATATAATTTGATTATAATTTGGTTTGTGTAAGTTATGAAAAGAATGGGTACTATCAAACAAAGGAAGAGAACAGACATCAGGTATCGATATGTTATGTGGAGCATGGTAAAAATTAGGAGGAACAAATGTGTCAAGAAATTCGCTTCTTATAACAGAGTAAGTACTACTGAAAACTAAATCAAGTATGGAACCCTTGGAATTAAAAATGGAGGTTTTTTTTGATAAAATTCATTAAAAGTAAAGATTTCAGGGACACACCGAGCTCGAAGATGAGAGGAAGACGAATAAGTTTAAAATCATTTGACCAAGAAATCTCTTGTAGGTTAAAGTCATCGCATATTATGAAGGTGTGGTTTGGATATAATTAAATAACGACCTTAACGCTGGACATAAAGTTTTCAAATAATAAAAACGAAAATTGACTAGGAAGTATGTACAACTAATAAAAAGTCTAAAGGTACTAATAGAAAACTCGACAAACAAGTGTTTAATATTGGGCACAATAATTAGTTTAGTTGAAAAATCTTTACATATACCAATAAGAACTCCATCACATCTTAAGTAATTACTATAACTAGCAAATCTATCATATCTGTATATATTATGGTTTGTAAGACCGAGCGCATTGTCCGAATTAGAAACATTTAACCACGTTTCAGTTAACACAAGACAATTGAAAATTATCCAAGCAACGTTGCACTACAGTTTTGTGATGGGTTCACTAATTTTAATAAATGGTTTTCTAGATTTTTGTAATTTGTTGTTTATTTATTTTAACTCATCAAAGGTAACGAGATTAAACATGAGTACGATACAATACATAAGTTGATGACCTCTCTCTTAAGCAAACTTGTGGTGAGATGTCTCCTAACATAATATATAATATAAAATTATTATATTATTATATTATATAAAACAAAATATGTCGCGAGCAGAACGGTTTGTAACTGTGGAAGATAGCACGGCTGATTGAACAATAAGATTTCAAAATAATTTTTTGAACACAGCACAACTGATCCAGCAAAAACCAAGACGAGCAGTATGCAAACAAAAATAAATATTACTCGCACGTGAAGCCCAATGAAGATAATAGGTTATAACGACGTCGGATTAAGGTTGCAAATAAGGGAACGACGCGGCACGGACATACGTTATAACTGCACAACGGTAAAATTAAGACTAATAAAATATTTTGTAGCTAATAACTCAAGGTCAATAAAATCTCTTGCCTTAAAAAAAGGTGCAGTATTGTCCACATAAGCTAAAATTTTTTCCTCTAAATCGAGCTTAAATAAGTTAATATAAATAAAAAATAATATATGTCCGATTATAGTATTCCGTATGTTGTAAATTTGATATCACTACTCGAATCATTAATTCTTACAACTGAGCGAACCTCAGATAAGTAAGATTTTAAACAGGTTAGAAATTTATTTTTACCTAATAGCTTATGTAGCTTACATAATAAGATGCTATGGGAAATACAGATGCTTTGACAATGTCGATAAATATAGATACATACATTTGTCACCTTGCTCAAGTACGTTATAGATAAAACTAGAGAGTGAAGTAAATGCACCATGAGTGTTCATATTTTTCCTAAATCTATATTGATTACAATTAATAAACTTGAATTTAATTTAATTAAATCTAAAGAATTTTCTTTAAATTTAAAAAATATTGGAGTTGTTTTTTTCCCAAGTATCTCAAATATTTTACTTATATTTGATATTAATACAATATGACGATAGAAATATTCGTGATATAACCTGCTATAAAAATAAGAATAATGACAGATTGACTTAATCTAATCCAACCCCCAGCCATATCGTGCTAGAATATTTTCTGGATGAATAACAAAGAATTAGACCAAACATTCGAAGTACCTTTGGGCAAACGCCGTATTTTTTCCTTGATAAATTTTGGATAATATTATTTTTTATTGCAACTTTTTTCCCATTATCCTCACAATGTACATAATGTGTTAGAGCACGGTCTAGTTTCACTCTTAAGTATTTAGGGTTATTCGCATGATCTGATTTAACCTCTTTCTTAGTCAATATTCAGTTTTTTCTTTGCCGGACGATTTTAAAATTGATATACACACACTCGTCTTGCAGAGATTAGATTTTATATGTTTTTGTTCGTAAAATTCGGCTTAATGCCACAAATGATTTCTTAGTTGATTCCTCTGTTTCTTCGAAATTAACCCCTTGTGTGGCTACTGCAAGGTCATCAGTGTACAAAAAAATCCCTCGTTGTAGGACTCCTTGGCTAATAATTTATGTAAATATTAAAATAGGCCATTTTTAGATCAAACAGAAAAGCTGGAGAGTTTAACAGAAGGTTAATTAAAAGTGTTACTTTGTGGTAAAAAAAAAATTAGAGTTTATTGTAGTATATTTTTTTTTATAAAGGAATTTTTGTATCAAATTTTGATGAAAATCTTTTTAGCAAAAAATTATGTGGAACAAATATAATTTTTCAATTTTTTTTTTGAACATAAGTACGAGGGTATAACCAAAAAAACTGAACTATTTTTGTACAAAGTTATTTATTTAATTTTTTTACAAAAAACATTTAATCTCCTTAAAACTACTCTCCGTTGGAGTTAATGCACTTGTCTAATCTTTTGTTCCAATTTTCGAAGCACTTTTTAAACTCATCTTTTGTGATACCTGCCAACGCCTCCGTCGTTTTTTTTTTTAACTTCATCAATGTCCGTGAAACGCTTTCCTTTCATGTTCCTTTTTATTCTGGGGAATAAAAAGAAGTCGCAGAGAGACAGATCGGGTGAATAAGGTGGATGGGACACAGTGGTCATATCATTTTTGGTCAAAAACCGCCGTACAAAAAGGGTTGTGTGAGCTGGAGCATTGTCGTGATAAAAAACCAGTCTCCTGACTGCCACAAATCAGGTCTTTTTCGTCTCAAACTGTTGCGTAATCTTTTTAACACCTCTAGGTAAAATGCCTGGTTAATTGTCTGACCAGGTGGAACAAACTCCGAATGGACGACTCCTCTCATATAAAAAAAACAAATGAGCATTGTCTTAATGTTTGACCTCACTTGACGAGCTTTTTTAGGGCGAGGCGATGCTGGAGTCTTCCATTGGCTCGATTGTTGCTTGGTTTTAGGATCATATCTATAGCACCACGATAGTCACCTTTAATGACTTTGGAAAAGAAGTTTGGGTCATTTTGGAATTCTTCTTTCAAAGAAGAGCATGATTCTACGCGGTTTTGTTTTTGCTGCTCAGTTAGCAGTCGAGGAACAAATTTTGCAGCCACCCGTTTCATACCCATATCTTCACTTAAAATTCTCTGTACTGAACTCCATGTCACACCAGATCTCTCCACTACTTCTTCGATGGTTTGCCGTCGATCTTCCATGATAATTTTGTGAATTTTTTCTATATTTTTTTTGGTTCGTGCCGTCGAAGGACGTCCAGAGCGAGCTTGGTCGTCTATCAATATTTCACCACTTTTGAAACGGGAAAACCACTCAAATACTTTAGTTTTCCCTAAAGCATCACCTTTGTAAGCTGTTTTCAACATTTCAAGGGTTTCTGTGCCTGTTTTCCCGAGCAGGAAGCAAAATTTGACGGCCGCGCGCTGTTCACGCAAATCAGCCATTAAAAAAACGACGAGTACGAAAAATAACTTTTAAAAAAAATATCACACCAACGTAACATAACCTTCCACGATGACGGCCGTTGGCATATTGAATGTTGAGAAGTATATTTATACACCCCTACCGGAAAAAAAATCGGTACTACTAAAACTCTGTCCCACACAACATCAGTTCGGTTTCTTTTGGGTATGAACTCGTACATCGTCGATTTAAGAACGATGGTGAAGTCAGAATTGAACGATTTTGGGTCCTGTAGTGTGTCAACATACTAGTTCAACTGACATTCCAACAGCTAGTTGCATCATGTTGTCAAGTTGTGAGGTCATCGACAGTGGACTGTATAAGGGAAATTTGCTCACGATGAACACGGAATCGCAATCCGCCGGCCCGGTTCCCTCATGGGGAACATGAACACCGCTCATAAATTGTACATGCAATATTAATTTCCTAACCACCAAAAGGTCGTGCCCGGCTTCGCCTTGACGTCCTAGAACGAACGGAGATATTTCGTGTGGTTAGAAGCTCATACCGAAACAATATATCCGGCAGGACGCATAGATCCATGCAACCACCGTCCCGCGGAACGCTCTCACATGAGAACATATGGACCCGCTGGTCACGTTGTGTTCCCATGGACATACGGTGTGTGGTGTGATGTTCGGGAATGAGAGTCAGACAAGTCGGAGTCGGTCATTTAGGTAATTTATGGAATACATGGGCTTATAAATAGAATGATTGGTATGAATGTTACATAATGCAGTAAGTGTTTGTGGCTTGTGAGGCCAGTGTGTGTAGCTCACAAGTAGATGGTCGGGGTGAATCGTGGAGCAGGATTGCGTGCTCAGGATTTGTGAGTCACGGTGCTTCTGTGATAAACAAGACCCCTGATCCACATTCATACGGTCGTTAAGCTATACGCGCATGTTATCCGGTAATGGCAAGAGAACTATTTGGATTTAACGAAATTTGATGAAAAGCCGGTACGATAACATCATAACTATAATAATAATATGATATCTGATATTTCATTTGTTAATTTAGTAAATGTTAGTGATAGGATTTTCAACTCAATGCCATAAATCAGTTTACTTGACTCAGTTTACTCTAAAGAGTTGGCTCGGTGGGTCAACTCCCAAGTTCCCAGTTCATTAAGGCGCGGTTTTTCAATCACATTTATTCATCGAATAATAATTCGTTTATTAATATGTACATTGCAGTATAGACGAATTACCGTACTCATGAGTACGTTAAATAGATACTCATTAATTAAAACTAATTTACCTAATCTGTAAATCACCAATAATTTAGGAACTGATAAGTGATAGCACACATTTGTGATTCTTGAATTGTATTGAACCAGCGGTAGCACTGAATCATAGAGTCACTGAATCCCACACTGAATCAATTCATTCAGTTTACCTAAAAGAGTCAACTGACTCACGAACTATCCACCTCTAGTAAATGTTGGACGCTCGTTCGGTTTTGGTTCTTTCTTAGTGTATATTCGGCGTTCGAAAGTTTATGTGTATGAAATAAGTGCACGAAAACTTTTGTAAACATGAAAATAAATAATTTTATTCAAACGACATTATTTAAATAATATACCAGATAATTCACTAGAACGATATTATAAACGTACCGTTTTTTTGCCATTATTAGATAATTTAATTGTTCAACTAGACAAACGATTTTAGTACGTTCATAATTTTAAAACAGTGTAACTAACCTAAACGAAGGTTTTTTGGAACGGAGTCGGAAATACTCATTCACGGATTATGATGAATACACTTTGAGGATGTATACTGCATTTTGGCATGCCGTCTTTCATAAGATCATTTTGAAATGGGATATTATACACAGCTAATATTAGTTTACGAAGTGTTACACTTCTTGTTAAACGTTATAGTCACATGAATCAAAGAGACAGGATCGGGGTTGGAAAGGATGGGTGAAAGACCTTCCCCTAATAATTATCTGGATCAAGTGTTGACTTTGATTTTTAATGTAAAATATGATGAGAAACCTATTATTTTAGATTATGAGCGTACCATCATGATGTATTGGTTTTACTATAATGTATGCTTTTTTTCTGTTTTCTATCTGTGCATAATTTTTCTATTATACATTTTGATTCGATAATCAACTCCTTGGTTGACTTTTCGTAGCAAATTGTCTATACATATTTTTGACTAAAATTCTATGCATCGTATCTACGATAATAATACAAGATATTAAACCCCGATCATATCCTCCCATTCATGGATACTTCTTTGATTATAGGTAATCATAAAAAGTTACTCACTATGAAATAAAATATCTACTATACATATATATATATATATATATACACTAAAATATGTAATAAAATATTTTTTACATCAAGTTGTTTTGAAAATCGTTATTCTTTATACGTAATAGGAAAACAATAAAGATAATGAAAAAATGAATAAAATAAAGACGTGTTAGGTGTATTATTCGTTTATTCGATTTTCGAAAATAAGATCACATTTAGTGTTAAACAATATACAGGGCGATTTTTCGTTATATCATTGTGTCTATCGTATCTATGTGTTTATTATGTATGGGTGGTGAAGTACGAAAATATTGTAAATAATATAATTCTACCTATACCTGACCTCTTAACCCAAAAGTTAGTATGTAAGTGACAACATACAGAGATAAAAAAAATAAATCTTAACTTAAATGTATTCAAAATTACGGTGGATAATTGCTGGTTCGTGATATAACAATCACCCTTTATAATAATTAAGGTGGTACGTTTTTATAATATTCCGAGTATAACCGAAACAATATAATGCGTGTTTCAAAATAATGCCCATTTCAACATTCTTAAATGACCTATAATTTTTAAAAAAAACTCATCGAATCGCCCTTTGAAATATTTTCATATTTTATTTTTACAGTAGGTGTTTTTACCTTAAAATCAAAATTAAATGAGTTCTGATCAGACTGCATAAACATATTTTTACCACTAAAATTCACCGGTGTGGTATCGTTTTAATAGAATTGTATCTATTATTTTTTTATTATGATAACGAGTGCTAGTCGCATACAATTATACGAATCGTGGTTCGACAATTTTATTTTAATACCGTGTGAAATTTGTTTCTTTTGTGCTCCGAAGCGCTGTTGAGGCACTGAAGCTTTGCAATCGTTTATTTCCCATATAGTATTGTGTTACTGTTTTTTTGTTCGATAGAAACATTCACAATAATTATATTTGATATTTCTATATGTTGAAATTGAAGTTTATGCAATATAACGATAATTAAACAATATTATGTGAATGCAGCCGAGAGGGTTTTTGAAAATATAGGTATTTTTCAGACCAGTCCATCTAAAATTACGTTTTCAATTATTTAATTTCACTGAGTATATTGGTTTAATCGAAAAAATGTGTTTTCCAACAGGGAGAAAGGGAAAAGCAAATCTCGGTAAAACTAAAATAATAGAGATAGTTCGCTACGATCTGCAGAATCTAAAACCAACAAAATATAATATTATTACGGCTTCTGTATATGGAAAATAAACGAACCGATTTTTATTTTTTTTTTACTATAGGTTATAAATTATTTAGTATCTTGAAAAAGTTAAAATATACAATGTCTAAGTAATTATTTTGTCATAATATGGCATATTTATTGTTGACAAAGTAACTACACTATCAACTGAACTCCGCTCAGAAAAATTTTTTTGTTAAAAATGGTTTATCGTTATTTACAGATATACATTCAATTTCCCCTCTACTACCTTCCCAACTTCTCACCTAAAACAGTGTCTGCACCCACGTGCGAAATTGCCCGGCTTTTTAATCTTTTAATTATAATAATCTAAGCTTTATCTCAAATGGCCCGATGCAATTTTATTTGCTTCTTTTATTTAGTTATATTTTTCTGTTTAAATTGCATTTATTTATGGAAGACATTTTCAGAGATTTTGGGACCCATCCCGAGGCTGACCTCTCGGTAAGTTTGTAGCACAAATAAAACATTTTAGTCACCTCTGACCAACCATATCAAGTTTCGACGCTTATGCACTGTTTTTGTATATCCTAACGAATTAAAATCTAAGACAAATAGACATCGTTACGGGATGATGGGCAATGTTGTAAAGAGCCTTATTGAAAACAATGTATTACAGTGTACACAATATTTTCAAATATTTTGTGGGGGAGAGAGGGTTAACAATTTTGTTGTTTATTGTTATTTGGTATAAATTATTTAATACCTTAAAAAAAATTTAAAAAAAAATTAAAAAGCTGTACTTAATATATAATACAGAAGAAAAAGAAAAGTATAATCGTTTTAAAGTCAGTTGATGTGTACTTAGTATAATGCTACATGTACACCTACATGTTCTAGTGGTGCCAGTCGTATAGAAAAAGTCAAACGATTTCAACTTTACGCCAGTAATTACTGGCGATACAATACTAATACGGTTTACTGGCGTGTACTACCATGCACGTGTAAACCTAAGTTAATATAATATAGGTATCTATATATACAGTTCCAAGTGCTCCAATAATCCAATCATGGACTAATGTAATATAATCCTATGCGTGTTCTCGGGAAACAAATCGGTGGTGAAAACTGGTTAAGTCTAAAAGTTGGAATTTGTGTACAACAACAAAATGAGTTATTATTAATTTTACTATAAATAATTAAATCAACTTAATTTAGCCAATTTAAACTATTTCGCATAAAATTTATTTTGACTTAATTAATTTTGCATTAAACTAATAACTTTATAACAATAAATTAAATTATAATTGAAAAAAAAAAAAAAATAAAACAAAACAACAATTAATTTGTAATATTTAATATTAGATAATATTTATATATGCATGATTAAAATTGATCAGTCCCTTGTTTTTAGAGTTTTTTCCCTTTATATCAGTCTCAATACCAAAGTCTTTTCATTTTCAAAATCTTTTAAATATTCTTTACATCCTACTTTTCCAATTTCTTATCTACAGCAGTGA